AAATGACTTCGAGTTACTTCTATGCCGCGATGAGTTAAAAAGTACAAATATTTCAAAAATCAAGTTAAAAAATTCATGAAGTGAAACATCGTTTATTTATCTCTCCGTTAGAAATAGCTCCAGAATTAGAATTTTCGGGAAGTTGAATACCCACGGAAAAATTCTTCCGAAAAAAACCGCGGTTTTTTCTTGAAAAATTTTTCCGTGGGTATATTGAACAGATATTTGAATATGACAAAAATCTTAGCCTTTTCTCCTCATATGCATGAATTAACGTGATAATGATGTCAAGCTAAGTTTCTTTCTATCATCGATGGCTAACATAAATTATCAAATAATTTAGATTTTATTAAACAACTGAAATATTCAAGGAAAAAGTAATTTTAGGACATTTTTTATTTTCGCCTATTTGTTGGCAGCATGTTCTGAAGAATAATGAATGTTATTTACATTAAAAAAAAGTTAATATTTTGTAGAGAATGAAAAGACAAAATTTTTGAAACAAAACAATTGAGTTTGAATCAACAAATATCAAAAGAGATACGATTAAAATAAAGAGAAGTTCGAAAAACCATTGTTAGTTTTTTTTCATGTTTAATAAGCTTGAGAGAATGCCATTAGCATGTGTAAGATCGCTGGGTTCTATCGATCCACTTCGATCAGCATCCAAATTTTTAAAAATAAATTTTGCCAATACTTTAGCACTTAAACCTTTAATACCGAATTTTTCTAATAATATTGTTAAATCTGCTTCGGTTACACGTCCATCACCATTTTGATCTAACATACGAAAAGCTTCAGTAGGATTGGTAAATGCATTTGATAAACCACCAACATCAAAACTCGAAGGCAATGCATCAGCAGCTTCTCGTTCAGATGACATAATTATTTTCCTATACGTTTCTTTTTAATGTGAATTTGTTTTGAAAATGAAAGAAATGTTGGCGAAAAAGCAACAATAAAAAAGAAAAGTGTAAATAAAAGAAAATTATTTTTAGTATTGAAGGTGAATAATGTTGACTGAAGTCCTTGTCGAAATGTGTTTTTACTCCAAACAGTATTTTTTTCTGATCGACTAATATTAAACTCACATGTGTCGAAATACAGAGAACGAATGTAATCATTGAATCATTTCAACGAAATTATTTTACATGAAAGTTTAAATCGGTCGCAATTTTACAACATATTCAATTCTTCGTAGTTTTGTTTTTTTCGAATGTGAAATTTTATTAAATCGTAGATAAAAGTCTGGTTATTGTTCATCTAAAGGATTAAAATTGAAAGCTTTTTCCTTAACAAAACAAAATTTAATTTAAAGAATAATCCAGATTCAAATTAATTAATGAATCAACGCTATTTTTGATGGTGACTCTGTTGATATATGATCACCACCTTCTTATTCATTAGTATACGACTTTAAAAGGCATTCATAATTATCTAACCATTCATTGAATGCATATGTATCTATAATCATATCAATAACTCTCATATATACGATGTACTTGTAGTGCACACGAAACACGCAATACACCATTGTTCACTTCAGAGAAGTTATAATACCAAGAGGACTGTCAAAAAACCTATTCACAATACAAACAAACAATTTCCAGCAAAAATCGCTTCGTCGGACTTGAGACCGTTCATAATTAGAAGATGTTCACTAGTAGAGATCTTACGAGTATGTAGAATGATGAACATTGCTCCTCGTATTCAAGATGGTTTCTATCGATTCGATGTTCACAACGAAACTGAAGACTAAAAATATTTCATTCAAAAGAGTTCAACATGACCGAAGTTTTTGATAAAAAAAAATCAACAAGAACAGCAAGATTCACTGTATCGACTTACGTAGAAAAAACTTGTAAAGATCGTACGAAAAACTATTGTCTCGAAATTCCGACACTATATCGTATAATAAGATTCTTGGCAGATTTTATCGACATATAAGTGTCTCTACAGTCTTATAATGATATCCTACAAGGCAGAATGATCATTTAACAATCTTTATAAGCGAATTAATGTAAGATTCCAGAGACGATGATTGTTTGTACTATTATCATAAGATTTTGTAAGAATTGTAAAGGATCTTTTAGTTGCATTGCTTGATCTGGGTCGATTCATCGAAAGAATCTCGATCTTTCCATTGTCTTTAAAAGACCTAACAAACAACTTATATTTTATGTTTTTTTTGTTGCATTACTTCGTAATTCATTATCTTGCGTTTTGTCGTAGATTCTTTACTTTTTTTTGTGTTGCGTAACTCTTGTTGAGTCTGTTTTCTTATCTTTATTCATTATCATATCTTCAAAAGAGTATATTTTTGTTGCCTTCGTACACATCAACAAGCAGTTTAATATTTTTTAGCGACGGTAACGATGAAACTTTTTATTACTACTTTCATTTTATGCACATTTTTACTCGACCTGAGTTTTGCTCTTGATACTGAAAATTATGCAGCTTATATTGAAGAACTTAGTCATGATGAAAAATTTCTTGACGAATATACCAAATGGTCATTAGAACTATTTTCTCACTCTGATTATCTCTATGGTAATCCTCATGCACGATTTCCATGTCCAATTGAAAAGTCTAATGATAATATTAGTATTCCTACATCAGTACATACTCTTCGACCAAGTGATATAAAATGTATTGCTGCTATGGGTGACAGTTTAACAACTGGCATAGCTGCTCATGCTATTACTCCAATTGGTTTACTAACGGAAAATCGAGGTTAGACTATCTTTTAAGACATTATACATTTCGTTGAACAATTTATTTTTCAGGTATATCTTGGTCTATTGGTGGTGATTATACATATTCAACAATTTGCTCTTTACCTAATATTTTACGAGAATACAATGGAAACCTTGCAGGTTTTTCTACTAAAGTATCGGTAATATCTTCTAATAGTCAAAATGTTGCAAACAATGGACTCAATGTTGGTCAGTGAAAGTAGATTTTAAAAAAAATCTTTTTTACAGTTTTTTTTTTCTGTAGCTAAATCATGGGATAGTTCGAGTCAAATGCTCTATCAAGCAGAACTTCTTATGGATCGATTAAAAAATCAAAACTTATGTGATTGGAATAATGATTGGAAAGTTATTACATTATTTGTTGGTGTAAGTCAAATTAAAAGATCTGTTTTTTTTTAATATTAAATGTTGAATAAACATTTTAGAGTAATGATTTATGCAGTTTTTGCGAAGATTCAAATTTAACTAAATATACACCAGAACAATATGTGAATTATATTCGTGATACCTTGGATAAATTATATAATGCTTCGATACCACGTACACTTATAAATCTTGTTCTTGTATCTGATGTTCGTAATGTTAAAGGTCTTAGTAATGGTAATTATGTTTGTCAAGTACTTCATAAAAAGACATGTCCATGTGCTACTTCTCCAACAGTTGAACAAGCTAAAACATTAGACAATTATATAACACGATATCATCAATCACTCTTTCATTTAATTGCTTCTGGACGATATGAAGATCGTGATGATTTTACTGTAGTTATTCAACCATTTATGGCTAAAACAAAACTACCATATAAACATAATCATAAAATTGATTTTAGTTATTTTGCACCAGACTGTTTTCATTTTAGTGGTAAGTTTAGATTTTTTTTGTCTAAAAGTAAAAGATTAATCTTTATTGAAAAACTTTTAGGTAAAGGTCATTCATTAGCTGCGCTTTCACTTTGGAATAATATGCTTGAACCTGTTGGTGGTAAAAAATGGTCATGGCATATAGGTGAATCATTAAAATGTCCAACAAAAGAATATCCATATATTTTTACATCAAAAAATTCTGCTAAAGCATTAAATGAACTTAAACATACAAGTAATCATGTATCTACAGTAAATAGTGATACTTCTACTTCTGATGTTAATTCTACGAGTCACCATCATCAAAAACATAAAAAGTTCAAATTTGACTTATTTTCGAATAAAATGAAATTTATCACACTAACTGGTTTCTTATTTATTATCACCATGATTCTCATTGTTGGTATTGCTAGACGTCGAAAAGTTCGTGTATTGATTCCAAGAAGTGAACGACATGGTTTTAAAGGTATGGATAATTCACAATATCATGATGACGATGATGATGATGTAGAAATTTGGAGTCGAACGAATACAAAATCAAATCATTTTGAAAATAATAAAACTACTAAAACACATGGTACACGTGTTTCTTTGGAATAAATATGTGAATCTTTCTCGATGAATAAATAATTATTGAAAATTATTAATAAAAATATTGATGTTATTTTTAATATACAAGAAAATATATTCGACTATTTGAATAATAAATGTAATAATTTCTATTGAATGAATATCAGTCATATGAATTACTGTACTATAAATATCCAAATCTTCTCAGTGAAGAAGATGAATACGTTAGCCTTCGAACACTTTCGCCTTTTCTTTCGACTAAAATTCATTTTTACCAAATTAGAATAACATCTAAATATGAACTAGTATATTTTTATCACAATTAAATTAAATCTTTCTATCGCGAATACTTGTAATACTTTTGAATTGCTTAGCAACAGCGATTCGTCAAAGACTGCTCTCTAAGTACAACTCATTGAGCTCTATCCAATGGTATGATCAGCTTCCCTATCACTCAAACTATACCCTCTGTCGCCGAAAAATTTTACAAATCCAATATTATTCCGTAGTTCTTATGTACGTACAACTGTGCAAGATTCGTGTAGGAAGTCGTTCAAAACTGCTATCTTTGTTGTCATGGCGATTCTATATGTTGTACATTATAGTAAAGAGGCTCATTGTTTTGACGCTTATTAACATCTACGATCTTTTTGCTCTTCGATAGAAATCATCCAATTGATACCTCTTTGCTGTATGTTATTGATTGTAGGCTTAATATTTGCAAATACTCGAGGTTTCAAAAACTGTGATGCCACTTATCGCGATTTCAACCAGTACAATACGATCGGAGACGATTCTGCATTCGATTCCAATACAAAGATCTCAAGTTTATGTGCGGTCGGAAAACGGCTTCAACCGCGCTTGTCTTTTCCTACAGTATCTATTAACTTTCAATTAGCACAAAACACAGTTTGCTTTCTAATAACCAATTTGTGGCATGTATAATTAAACGTGCATTGAGCTCATCATTCTACTTTATACACTATACAAATATGTTTTATCGCTAGCTTTGACATTTCGGCTAAGTAGAAAGTTTCTGTCTAGTATTGCCGAGGGAGAATTGAATGATCGGATTTCGAAGAAACAGAAACTTGTAAAGAATAAAAGCCAAAGAAAAAATGTTCAACATACTTCGCACCTATAAAGTCAGTAATTATTGTAAAAGACCTGATATAATTTTTATCGGAAAGATGTTTTATTATACGCATCACGATTTCATTTTTTTTCTAATTGTAGATAAAAGAAAATGCAGTAATAATATATTATTTATTTATGTTAATTATATGATATGTAGAATTTTCGACCATTGTCTGTTGGAACCAGCTTGTATATTCGGTCATCATCAGTACGTTCACATCAAATATTTGCAGTTCTTATTACTTGAACTTACTATTTCGGATTTGTTTATTGTTACTATTAATCTACGTCTCATTTGTCCTGTTATGTTGTATTTTATTTGATGTGAACGTACTGATGATGACCGAATATACAAGCTGGTTCCAACAGACAATGGTCGAAAATTCTACATGTCATATAATTGACATGAATAAATAATATATTATTACTGCATTTTCTTTTATCTACAATTAGAAAAAAAATGAAATCGTGATGCGTATAATAAAACATCTTTCCGATAAAAATTATATCAGGTCTTTTANCGTAGAATGCACTTCACTAAATGAACAAGAAATCATTTGGGATAAAATGATTTTGCCGGGATCCCGTCACTTTTTGCGAGATAGGCGAGATCCCGCGGCTTTCCGCACAGAAAAGTTAATCCCGCGGGATCCCGGCAAGATTCATAAAAAATGAGCGACATGGGATATCAAGGTCTCCTAACAAACGCGAGATATTTAATTCATGTGCTTGTTCGACCAATTTGAGAAACTCAGTACGGCAGCTTGCTAAATAAATATTCTTTGGTGATGACGATGGATTCTTTTTCCTGAAATAGGAAACAAAGAAATTAATACACATTGTAAGCAAACGTCAATGAGACATCACTTACGTTCTGTGATGAACGGTTGTTGTCATTCTGTTTATGATGACTCTGTGAGCACGAAGAGCGAGAAAATGCAACTATGGAACGGATTTATGCAGAATTCCGCTGATCTCTAGTATGTGTGTTGTCTATCCGAATGAAAGGACGACATCGGGAGAACATCGTTCATTGTTGTTGCTACTAATTTGGTGGTTGATTCAATTATACTGGCCAATCACATGGGAGCATAGATAGGTGACGCTACGGTGCGGGTTGCCACCAGTGTTTGATCCATGACAGAAATTTCAATTTCTGATTCGTAATTTTTATGTTTTGTCGAACTTAGCATTCCACTAACTAATCGTAATAGAAAAAGCGAATCATAATGTCTATTCATTTCAATCAATCTTTTATTTAGATCAAGTCACTCAACTCATTTTTGAGATGTTCTTTAAACCAAAAAAAATGACAACACAAAATATTTCTCCATCTTCTTCGACTTATAAAATTCATCGTCAACGTAATAAATTTTAAAAAAAGCAGTAAAAATACTTCACCAGCAAATACGAATGATTGGAGTAAATATTCTTTTTTCTTATCGTTTCTTTTTAATCAAATTTATTTATTTTTATTTCAAGCAATTACATTGTGTATTTTCGGTTCTGCTGGTTCCAATAAACGAATTCTTTCGTCACTTGAGGATCGTTATGTATATGAATATATTAATGATGAACGACAAGTAATTCGTACATTGATTGAAACAAAAACTTTATTATCACAACGTCAATTACGTATTTATATTGTGGATTCATTTGATGTTGTATATTTCAATATGTAAAAGAAAATGAAGATATTTATACAATTACTTCTGAAATTGTATTATCATGTGCGGAAAAAGAAATTGTAAAAACAAATTTTTTTTCTTAAAATTAGAATTAAAAAAAATTCTTTTTAGGATATTTCTGTACCAAGGGAGATCGACCATTATATTGCCAACATTTATCTTCAGCTGTCATATGCTTTGTTGGAATTCGACGAGGTACACATGCAAGTTAATAAAAATTTAATTTTTTGTTGAATAATATTTTTTTTGTTTTCGATCAACTTTAGTGATTTTGGTCATTATCTTGGTGAATCTGTTCGAAAAGATTATAGTGATCAAATAACATGTTATATCACATGCAAATATCGGTGAAAAATATCTTGTAAAGAGTTTTTTATTTTCTTATGAAGATATTTAATGATTTTGTTTGTAAATTCTTTAGACAGCATTTAAGATGGAAAGAAATGATACTCTAACAGAAGAATGACTTTTATGTTGTTGACATGCCAAAATAATCGTCAATTTAATCCATTTGATTCTGAATTTATTCGAATATATCGTGCTAAACCATTACATAATCTTAATTTATTCTTTTTTGGTTTTAATAATGAAAATGATTTACAACATTTACACACTTTAACTAATGAACATGGTTATTTTTTTAATGCTTTTGTTGACTATATATAATACAAAATGTTATGTCTCATAGCAGAAACTCTCATTTAAGAAAATAAATCTGCAACTTGATTTTCTAAGTGAAATTTAAGAAATTTTATGAGCTTCATTTTGTCTTTATTGAGAGAATCTCGAGGAGATTTTTAAACAGAACATATTTCAACTGAAATTTTGTCATTAATTAGGCCTTCTAATCCTAAGAATATTCTTAGGATCATGAAATCTAATTATCACCAAAATTTCAAATCAAAATTTTTTCAGCCAACACTCCGTCCTATAGAAAAAAATCAAGCAAAACTATCGTTATTCTTTCAAGACGAGTTATAGGTCCGAATCCTCTTGACATTATTCTAATTTCAAGACTCGCTCTACACATCACATAAGAACATGTTTTAGTCGTTCTATATTAAATAAGAAAAAATGATTATTGTTAATAAAAATGATAATATTTACGTTATTCTTTACACCATAGATAAATAACTACTATTTAACACCAAAATAATCATAATATTTGTTGAAGTATAGTATATGTGAGAAATATTTTCTTTCTTATCAGTATCATCGCAGCACGTTTAACGTTGACAAACTTTTATAAAACAAGTTATCTTCATAATAAAGGAAAATATTGCTGAACATTTTCTGACCAAATAAAACGATACACCTTCATTAAGACTTTTCAATTTAGTACAATTGAGACGCGCTACATCATTGATGAAGTTGTTTGTTACTATTGCAAGTGATTTTTATTTGATGCTAAGTATTCGTCAACTAGGCAAATGAACTTTTTTTTTCTTTATCAATGAGAAGTTGCTCAGCATAATTCACATATGCTATCTTCAGATTAAGAAGGGTAAAATAAGGAAATATAATCGTTGTTGATAAATTATGCTTGTCTTTTTGTGTTTGATTATTATATATAAATCATTCTTTGAGATAAGCAAAGTTTGAAGAATTGATATTCGAAAGGAAGGATATCATTCATTAACAAGCTTCAAACTTTATCAAACATGTTACTTTGAAAAGAATTGTTGAGATGAATGAAATATTCGAATTGATATGAAAACATTTACATATGCGATCTGCTTTCGACCTTCATTGTTCTAGTATTAACATATGGAAATCAACTTGTCCATATCCTCTTGCAATGAAAGATCAACGCTACCATTCTTGTTAAGAATAATTTTGCTAATACTGAAAGTAAATTTGTTTAATCGTGGTATATAAATAAGAATTTCATCAAAATATAAGTCGAGTCAAGTCTTATTATTGATACAAATAATATCAGTTCTTCATCGAGGTTAATGAGAAATATTTCAATTTGAAAAGTTTTTTCTTCAAAACACAATAATAGATATTATACTAGAGCCCTGCATGCAGTAAACTAAATTCTTTTGTCGAAAAATTGCAGTTCCCTAAAATAAATCGAAATTCTATTGAATTGCCAAGTGATCTTGTATGTTATTGATTTTCTTTTTCTTCAGTGTGAAATGAAAAAATAACACATTTCTTTATTTTAGGTAATAACTAGTGAAAATGGAAAAGATGCAAGTGTATATTTTGTAGCACCAACAATGGGTCAATCAGTTCCATTAGCTTGGACACAAAATGCCCAATTAGCTATTGCTCATATGTTAAGTGGTTTATTTCAATCAGCATTGTGTTTATTACAGGATCAAGTTGGAACTGTTTGTTTTGATAAATATAAACAATTGTTCGTTGAAATATATTCACGTCCACATGCAGCTTTTACAACACTTCCATTATTACCGGTATTATATACATATCGATTAAGAAATTGGTTTGTATTCTTTTGTTTGTCTAGTAAATGTTTTTAAATTTTTATTATAAATTATTAAGACGTGATGCACATTTACCAAAATTATTTTATCTAGCAGTTGGTTTAAAATAAGAAAAATTAGTTGGACATCTTCAAATTGCTTCTTGTTTAACAAAAAATGAAAAATTTCAACATCAACAATGAATTGAAATATATAAAGAATCTATATAGTGCTGGTTTACGAATTTCAATCGTAAAAAAGAAAAGATTTAGCAAAAGATAATAAAAATGATCATATGAATTAGTTACTTATTTTACTCATTTACAATTACAATCAATAGATAAAATCATGGCCATTAAATTTTCAATTAATGAAGCATTTGAAATTAAAAAATTATAAAAGTGCAACAAGCTTTGCCAAAGGTCTATTAGAATTGGAACAATCATCTGATGTTGCTCAACAATTTTGTTTGTTTTACTATTAAAATTTCTTTTTCAAATCAAATCCTTTTTTTTCTTTGTCGACATTAACTTTGAAAAGTTTTAAAATAAACCAAAAAACGGAAGAAAAACATCTTCAATCAACTCAAGATATGTTCAAATCTGTTGATCAAATGTTTCCGTGTTTGATTTAATTTATTTGAAAACAATTGAGTTTATTCTGTGTTACATGAAACATAATTTTGGTTCAATTATTTCAAAAGACAAACAAAAAAATAAAAAATAAAAACTTATTTTTAGACACGAAAAGTATTAGATGTTTGTGAAAAAAAATCCAATTGGTGAACATCCATTAAATTATGATGAATCTGATCCATTTGATATTTGTGTTGCATCCTATGCACTAATTTATCAGTATGATATTTAAAAATGAAACTGAATTTAATGCAAAGTAATCTTTAATTCTTGTTTAGTGGAAATCCATTAGTGAACTATATATCAGCAGATGCAGTCGATTTACCGGAATTTAAAGGACAATTATGTCGTGTTACAAAAGAAACTTGAAATTGGAAAATAATTTGTTGATCTTAAGATTTCAATCAGTCACTTTTGTTAGAATAAAAACAAAAGAACTATTTCTTTTAACTTAGCATTAGAACGTTTTTCTTTTCTTTAAAAAAACAAATTCAACTAAAATTGTTTAATCATCCGAAAATTAATCGAAATACTTCGTTTTTTTGTCATAAAAAATCAAGTTTTCTTCAAAGATAAATTCTAATACAAATCTTCTTTAGTTAACTCTTTTATAAACAAATCCGTTTCTAAAACGAGAATTTAGAATCAATAGATTTGTTTGAAATAAGTTCACTAAAGTAGACATTGAAATTCTATGATAATATATAAATGAATAATCTCGATTTATAAAATGACATTAATGCAACTGATGTGACTACTTTATAATCGTTTAAGAAATTTTATTGATACAATTTCATTTGGTATTCGATCTTTCTTTGCAATATCTCGATAGAATCACTCAATTGGTAAACGAGTTCATTTGCACAATATAGAAAATATAGGATTAGTTCGTTTTCTTTTATGAACTGTAACCAATTTTAATTATGATAGAAAATGCTGGTGATTGGATTATGTTAAAGTGAGAAGAGCTATTAGATAACTTATTTTTGATAAGATTCTTCCAGTTCATTGAACTGAAAGGTGTCATACGCATCTATTCAATATTCATACCGGCAGCCTTTTCTTGCTCAACAG